AAGTGTCTCCCTTGATATTTTCTTTCCTAAGTGTCTGTTGGTAATACCCTCACACCTTTTCTGTTTATATGAAAATGTCTACATTTTGCTCTTGTCTTTGGAAAGTACTCTTGTTCTATATAAAACTAAACTTGTTGCCAATGAACCAATAAAAATTACTTGTTCTATAGAAAACTAAACTCTTCTGTCAGTTTGCTCTACTGAGGTAATCTGGGTTTGCTGTGATGTTGAACCTTGTGCCATTGGGGTGTAAAATGCCATAATAGTTGCCCAAAGTGGACAGTGTTTGGTGAGGCTCCCAGTTTAAGACAGATTTGGAAGCAGGAGTGGCATCCACTTCCTGAACCACATGCCTATGGAAACTCTATGAACTTGGAGAAATGACGATAGTGATAAAAAAGGCATCGGGTTCATGGGGTCACTATGAGTCGTGCTTGACTCGATGGCAATCAACAACAACAGCAAACTCATTGCCATAGAGTTGGAACTGAATTGTAGCTCACAAATCAGTGGGTTTTCAGAGTCTGAAAAATCACAAAGAAGGAGACTGTCTATCTTTTTTCCCGTGGGTGGGCTGGTGGATTAGAACTGCTTGCCTTTGGGTTGGCAGTACAACTCCTTACCACTAAGCCAACAAAACTCTCTTAAATATGGTATACATAAAAATTACATTTGATGATTTTAGATTCCTATCTCTACATTATAACAGCACCCTTCTCATTTCATCTCAGTATTTTCTATTTCCATTTGCCTAGCCCTTTTTACTTTCTGAGCTTAATCCCCAAGGCAATGTTGTCCTTTTAATCTCATATAGCTGGTTGTTCTAAGCAGTGTCTACTTCCTTCTCTTATGTTGTTGTTGTTGATAGGTGTCAACCAGTTGACTACAATTCATGGGGACCCATCTCCACCATCTCAGGCTGACATACTCAAGCCCATTGTTACAGTCACTGTGTCAATCCAACTTGGTGAGGGTCTTCCTCCTTTGCAGACCCTCCACCCGTTCCAGCATGATGGATTTCACCAAGGACTGGCCCTTCTAAGATTATGCCCAAAGGATGTGAGGCCAAGCTTCACCTTCTTGCCTCTAAGGAGCTCTCTCTTCAAGGCAGGTTTGTTCCCAATGTTCTCTGCCAACAGAATAGTTCCAAGGCGTTTGAGTTTTCTCCTGCCTTCTCTATTCATTGTGCAACTTTCAGATGCATAGGAAGCAAATGCAAATACAGTGGCTTGGATCAGGTGCACCATAGTTTGTAAACTGACATCCTTACTCTTTAGAACTTTGGAGATCTCATTTTCCTGTTTCATAGACCTATCTATTGACTGGTTGAAAGTTGAGCCATGGGGATTGTTACACACCTTTAAAGACATTTGAAAATATCTATTTGATGTGTGAGTAACTGCTCAAACACCAGATAGATCTACCTTTCCTGGGAGAAACCAGCATGAGTGCTCAACCTCTCCTAATATGATCTTTCTGCTCAGAGTGTGCCTTCTGTTACTAAGTCCTATGGGGAAAACCACTCAAAATCCATTTTCATGATTCTAACTTTTATTTGATTTAAGGTAGAGGAAAGCACCCATTTTCCCAGTGAAATAATGCTAATGGAATTTCAATTAGGGGCCATCTGGCAGGCCCTAGAGTGCATGAGGGCTGTGGCCTCCTGCCAGGAAAGCCAGAGGGTCACTCTGCATTTCCCAAAGGAGGAATGTAGAAGATGCAACCCAGTTTCCTGTCATCAGGGCCCTCTGCCCCAACCCTTCCCTCTTCTTATTCACCTGCACATCCTAAACTCAGGATCAGGAGCTGCTTTTCCCATCTCAAACCTCCAGACTATTCAGGGAGGGCTGGCGGCGGGACCAGAAGGCAATGCAATCATTGCTCTTTGGTGCCAGCAAGTCAGCTCTGCCCTATCCTGCACCATCATGATCTCTGCTCGTTCTCAAACATATCACATCGTTACAATCACCGGAACAATCCAATTTGTTCCTGTGTGTCTCTGATCCTCTACCTTTCCCAGCACGGTGTCTTTTTCCAAGAACTGATCCATCCTGACAATAGGCCTAAAGTATGTGAATCCATAAAGTTTCATCATCCTTGCCTCTTAAGAGCACCCTGGACACACTTCCTCCAAGACAGTTGTGTTTGTGTTTTAGCAGTCCATGAGATATGCGACACAATTCACTGTTTTAGCAATATAACAACAAATGGCAAGGGAGTTGTTGCTGCTGTTGTCTGGGGCCACCTAGTAAACCACCAAGCTCACTGATATTATGAACAACAGAGCTGAATCTCGCCCCATCCCACATCATCACCCCTGTCTCTAACACACTCAAACCCATCGTTACAGACTCTGTCAAACCTCCTGTTGAGGGTTTTCTCTTTCTCTGACCCTCTTATTTTCCCAGAATGATGTCTCTTTCTAAGACCTGACCTTGGAAAAAGACCAAATACCCTCATTGCACTTACTTCCTCCAAGACAGAGATGTTTATTCTTTTAGTGGACTGTATATATTTTTAAATAATACTTTAGTGTGTTTCTTGTAAAAGTTGACATGGTGAATTCAGTTCCTATGGGACAGTTTCTATTCAGATTGTTGAGTCCATGAAGAATTACATGTTCCACACGTGCCCATGTTCTCATCATTGCACTCTGGTTGTTCTGTTTCCTGTACTTTAGTTTCCCTTCTCTTTTCATCTTTGCTGTTGAGTAAGTACTGCTTTCTTTTGGGTTCATCGAGATGGGTTTTCAGTAGAACATGGTACTCATGGATAATCTCCATTCTTTTATATGCCAATCTTTTATTTTGCTAAAAGGTGGCATCAGGTGATAATTTTGTTTCAAGGCTTAAGGAGCTCAGGGTGACAGTCTCAGGGAAGTCTTCTGTCTCAACTGGACCATTGAGTCTAAAGTTCTTAAGAATTTGAGTTCTGGGGAGCTCTGGTGGCCTAGTGGCAAGACGCTGCACTGCAATCCCAGAGGAACACGGTTCAAATCCACCAGATGCTCTGCCGGAGAAGGAGGTGCAATATCCTCCTGTACCAGTCAGAT